ATTTGGAAAGGAAAAGAGTCAGAAATAAGTCTAGATATTTTAGAGGTTACTTCATTAGACTGCAGGATCAACAACCAAACAAAAATGCATCCTTTAATGTGTGACAACCTAATATATATATATATATATATATATATATATATATATATATATATATATATATATATATATTTGTGTGTGTGTGTGTGTGTGTGTGTGTGTGTGTGTGTTCTGGGAAGTTCCGTTTATCAAATCTTTTCAAATTTCAAAATAAGTTGCTTCATATGATCTGTAAATTTACCAAAGTTCATATATATAAATATATATATATATATATATATATATATATATATATATATATATATATATATATATATATACTCGACTCTCCTGTCGAATTCAACGTATTAGGGTCAAGCAGATCAGTTCCTAGGAAACCGACAGCTCGATAACAGCACATGGGATTTGATTTTAGTTGTGAAGGTTTCGTGCAGGACCAGCCACACTTTTTTGAAGGGCCGAATTCAGAGACCCGGTGTACTAAGTGCCACAAGGTCCCCAAACGACCCTCTGCAGGTTTTGAATTCAGAGTTCTCCTTCTCCTAGACGAGAGTTGCCATCCAAGGCTATAGAACCCAGTCTGTCCTGCTATTTACCCATAGCTAGAGGGAGAAGAAGAGGATTCACACCTTTCCTAAGGATATTAGTATATATATATATATATATATATATATATATATATATATATATATATATATATATGAAGGATGTATAAACATATATATATATATAAAGGATGTATAAATATATATATATATATATATATATATATATATATATATATATAAAAGATGTATAAACATATATATATATATATATATATATATATATATATATATATAAATGATAAATGTCACTCACTCACACACTTTATCAATTAAAGGGGCACAATTTTCTGACTTTCAATAGCTCATGTTACAGAAATTTTTTCAAACTTTTCTTTACTGGGCGATTTTTTACGTAATTTTTTGTACGATAACAATTTTTATAACTTGGAAACAAATTTTGAAATAATTGAAATTAATTACGAGAATCACGCCTGAAAATGAAAATAATTGTTTGGACGGAAAGTAAGGACCTACACACATCGATTTGTCTTTAAATCAAGTGGTGGCAGAAAAATTATCGTTGGAATTTTCAAAGGTAAGCTTAAATATTAATGCAATACTTAAATGCAGTGATGAATTTTGAGTTCTTCTATAGTTTATTGTTGTCTATCGCATACGGCAGCAGTATGCCTCGCAAAAAGAAATCTTCACCAACAGAGGATCAGATTGTAATCAAAAGAACCAAGGCTGCAGCGAGGAAATGAAAACCCAGGCCAAAACGACACGCAGGAAATCTTCCAATGTTGAAAATATGCAAAGACTCTGAAACTCCTGAAAAAGCCGAAAACTCAATCAAGAGCCCTCCACAGGAGCTAGCTTAAATGCCGCTCGATGGGGCGGCTTTTAAACTTATATATATATATATATATATATATATATATATATATATATATATATATATATATATGGAGAGAGTGAAAGCGGGGGAGACGCAGAGTTGAGATAGATTAATATGAAGTTTTGACTGAAACAAAGGCTAATTATCAAATAAAAGTGAAGCCAAGCGAAAAGAAGATTATAAAAACACCCCGATACATTGGAATATTGGCGGAATCTAAAATGTTATTGGGAAAGAAAAGAAATGAAATATAAAGGGGGAAAAAGTGTCTTTTATCTTCCGCCTACTTCAGCGTGACCCTTAGAAACCGTCTTCCAAATCACAATATAAATGCATCTTTAACCAAAGATGGCCTTCTTGATGTGCCTAATTGGAAAAGAATCCTGCATTCTCCCAACACTAGATTTTCGCCTCCTCCCGCTTCCCAAATTACAGCTTTTCTGGTTTACCCTTACCCCAGTTTCATTCAGCCATTCTCACCTGACATTAATGTTCAGTTTTTCATTCTTTTCAACAGGAAGAAACAGTTGTTTCAGAGCCAAAGGATCCATTGATCATCGAGCACATCGCAACTCTCCGAATCCTGCTATCGAGATAAACTGCGGTCAAGTAATTCAAAAGAATATCTTTATCTTGTCAATTATTCTGCCCAGTAATAAGTAACCAAATTTAGCAAACACACATATATGTAGATATATGTTAAGAATAGATCAATAAGACCGTAAACATACATAAACATCTCACACACGTATATAAAAGTTCAGTTAGTCACCAATGAAAGTTATTTATTGAGGATTTTTTATTTGTTTGTACTAAAATACGGATCACTTTCTTGGTTTCAAGTACGTATGTAGATATAAATTGGCCATTATCTGAATACTTTCGGCTATCTTTACCTATTATCAATTACATTTGTTTTTTGTTTTTTTGTTGCATTATTTAAATGCACCTAATATATATATATATATATATATATATATATATATATATATATATATATATATATATATATAAAAAAAACAGACGACTTTTAAGTCTCCATTTGTTATAATTTATTTCAACAGAGAATTTTATTTTTCTCTGGATCTTCGGACTTCACTTTCAAAGGTGAAACAAAAAATGAATTTAAAATTTACACTTTTGACGGGCAGTATTAAGCTTATATAAGTTGACATAGAAAATGGTAAGGGATGGTGTGAGAGACATGGTCGAGGTTAGAGAGGGAAGGGAGAGTTTTAAATTTTGTTTTCTTTTTCTTTTTATCACAATACTTAATATTGAGGACAGAGGGGGAAAGAATCAGCCATTGACCTATTTAATCGGTCAACTCAACGAAAATAATATAAGAAAAAGGAAAAAAGGAAAAAAAGTGGCGGGGGGAATAAAGGGATAAGATATAAGAGATGTACGTAGGGTTATTGGAGGAAGGAGAGAAGGAGAGCAATTTAGATTTTAACGTTTGATAGTAATATATATATATATATATATATATATATATATACACGAAGTTGATGGACTCTCCCGTCGATTTCGACGCATGAAGATCCAACAACCTAATTCAGTTTTTATGTATGTGACACCTCAATCCCTCTAGTGACCTGCATACAAGCCCACATATTGTGCAACAGCCACATGAATATTTGCTGACGTTTTTGCCATTGGCTTTCGTCTCTTAAACGCTCAATACGACTGATTTCGAAATTTCACGGAGGCAGCGTTGGGGCAAGCGCTTGAGGAGTCTCAGGGGGGTCGGTAATTGACTCTGATCCGTATAGAAGAGTGGCGATTACGATAGCACGATATAGTTTGATTTTAGTGCCCTTCTTCAGGTGTCTGTAATAACACAGATGTTTGTGCAGTTTGCCAAATACAGTGCTCGCACTTGCCAGTCTGTTGTCGACCTCCTTGTCGATCACAGCATCTGACGCATATATATATATATCCAAGAGGATAAAATCTATGTAGGCTCAATGTACAGTACAGAGCAAGATTGCACTATAATAAATTGTAACTATGGAATATTAGTATTTGAGCCTTACATACATACATACATACACACACACACACACACACACACACATATATATATATATATATATATATATATATATATATATATATATAATAACAGATTATAATAAAAGCATTTTACATCGCCACACAAAAGCTTTCATGTTTCAATACTATCATTGTACTTCGTCAGACAAGGCAAAGGTAAGATTTATTTTGATGCAGTTGTTTATATACAAAAGCAAGTATGTCATTTGTTTATCAAGGCTTTTAACTTTAAGAACATTCACAAATATTCATCAGATGGTTGAAAGGTCAGTCAAAACATGGGGAAGACACAAAGTGCCATAATTCATTGTCTGGTAAGGCAAAAGTAAGCGAGTAATAATTAAGACATTATTTTTTTAATAAATGAATCTTGTCTAAATCCATTGTCGCATTTTTTAACGTCTTTTTAACGTTTTTACGTCTATCCTAAACCATAACAATCTGATCACAATTCAAACACTATTCATTTTATTTCCTTCCTTAATTCACTGATGAATATTAAAGTCATCGTTCAAACATTCCCGATATGTAAGTAGGTGTAATGGATAAATGCTCGGAGGAAAATACTCTTAAAAACGTATTAATCCATCTCTTTTCTCTTAGTTAAAAAATAGGGTAGACTCTCTAGTCGTGTTTGGTAGCCAGTATAAGTAAAGAAACCTCTTAATTCAAAACCGTTATGTGGTCTGGTGAGACACATACACAACAGTTTATATATTTGATGCCCCACTGGTAATTTTTTTTAGATTAGCCCCCAAAATCCTGTACTTTAAATAAGAGAAAATTGTTATACAAGTTAAAAAAAATTTTATGATGCCAAAAAAAAAAAAAATAACATTTTATGGTTAAATTTCTCGTCAAAATATCCTCCTTTAGCCTTGATTACTGCAGCACAAATTTTGAGATATGTTTCTCATTTTTCTTTCTCTCTCCTGTTTCATCGAATCCTAATTCTGGGTTTGGCTTCAAACTTTTGAGCTGTCGTGTACTTGAACTAAGGTCCTCAGTTTAGTTGAAGTATAAATCGTAAATGATTTTGAGCAGATAGGTTGGTTCGGAAATGATGAAAAGGAAAAATCACACCGATTTCTAAAGCTCCTTTAAGCCGAAGCAACTTTAATGATGATTTGAAACATTATACATTGAAATATTCAGATCAATAAATCGTGTCAATCGACAGAGTTAATGACTAATCCACATCTACGAGGAACCGTAGAAAATCATCTATACTGAGTTCTGTTGTCTACGGTTCCACCATCGACCAAGTAGGAGTTCTAACAAGGCTGATTTTTTTTTCATTGTCTTTTGGTGTTTGCGTGTGGGATTAGGGTTGAGGACTTAAGAAAACCAAACATCATTCTGTGATTTTGATTCAGCTATGTTCTCCTTTACTTTCTCCGTCTCTCTGTCAGTCTCCATTGAATCCACTGTCAAAAGATGACAACTTGGGGAACAAGATGCGGGAAGTCTGGTGCAAGGGAGTGCTGAAAGGCGTACACGAATTTGATTCCTTTCTGTTCGCCTTTCCCAAAGTCATTCCCTGCTCGAACCGACTAAGTCTTTCTTCCCAAACCCACCTCCATCCGACCCGCTATAACAATGTCCAGACGCAGAAGTAAAGACGAGATGCAACTGCGCTATCTGACGCACACTCAAGAAGAACATTTTGAAGGAGGAAGCTTTGTTTATTGATATTTCCTCGGCGTATGGCGAAGTGCGGGTGGTTAGCGGCGGAAAAAGTGAATTCGGTGGACCGAGATCAAATTCTGATCAATGTCGTAGTGTTCACCTTCCCACGCTTGGAAAAGGTAAGGAATTCATTTCCTCTTCCATATAGGTTAAATATCACACGGAAACAAGCCTTCGTTGGCAACTAGTTTAAGAGAAGAAATCTAAATTTAAATCCGGCTTGACGTGCGGACGGAAACGGTACCTCTAAAAAGGCCTACTAAAATAAAATAAAAAAACTGCTCCACGTGCTGTAAGAAGGACTCGTTTTATCTTCGTACATAAAAATCGTTTGGTTTGTACATTTTATACTTTTCGCATTAAAGTTCATCTCTTCGTTCAGATTATTCTCGAAAGTTTCATATTTGCTCAGTTTCATATCCGAAACGTAAACAAAGCAATTTCTAAAGAATTAATGGATTTTTATTTTTAATCCGACACAATTTTATTACATTAAACGTTATTTTTAGTAGATACCCGTATCTATCTATCTATCTATCTATCTATCTATCTATCTGTCTGTCTGTTATGGGCCAGGTTAGGACCAAGGAAGAACAACACGAACACAAGAGTAGAAATAACGAAGGTATATTACACGAAATAATAATACAAGATGCGGAAGGTGTTAGTATGACTGTCAGTCTGGTTTGGAGTGAACTACTATCGGCCCGACTCGATTCGACCGTTCTCTCTTGAGAGGCGTAGTATACATAGTGTTAGGAAGAGTTCATTCTGTAGTTATAGGTAAGGACCCATGACACTATCGATCTCAGTCAGTTTATCTATCTATCTATCTATCTATCTATCTATCTATCTATCTCATTCAGTTTATCTATCTATCTCTTCATATATTTCTATTTATTCATATCTATGTATCTATCTGTCCCTCTATTTATATCTATCTCACTATTCATATCTATTTATATCTGTCTATCTTTTCATATCTATCTGTGTATGATAACGTTTTTATGTATGATATAGTTATGAGGCATGTTATATCTATGGGTTAATTATATAGTTTATATATTATTATATTTATCGGTGTTCAATATCAAGGATAGATTGTATGTAAAGTGTTCAATATCAAGGATAGATTCTATGTAAATATAAAAGTGGACATTGAGGTCAAAATCCAACAGCTGGATATTGACCTCAATCTCCACAAATAGATAGATAGATAGATAGATAGATAGATAGATATTGATAATAATTAGATGTTTAACCCTTTTATAATAAATAATGTAAGTTATTTATTGAAATCATTCATGAATATTCTCCAGCGAATTATAATTTTAGCTTTTTTCTATTTTACCTTTTTAAAATTTTTTCCTCTACTTCAACCCACACGTCCTAATGAAAACTCTTTTCTTTATAATTTCTTTTCTTTATAATCTCATTCATATATATATATATATATATATATATATATATATATATATATATAGCAGAGGAGGTTTGCGTGTCTGTCTGCCTGTCTGTGTTATACCTTTTCACTCGAGATGTATCCAACCGAAACTTGACACATACATTGACCAAACTTGACACATAAATTTACCAAACTTGACACATACATTGACCAAACTTGACACATACATTGTACAATGTAAGAGATAGGTTTTTGACGTAAAAAAATCGATAATTTTTAAAAAGTCAATAATCGATAAAGCAGATCAAAAACCGATAAATTCAACTTTTTTCACCCGATTTCGTTCAAACTCGCTATGTAGGTTACTTACGTTATGACGAACCCAACGATATCTCATTTTTATTTCGACGCCACTGCTTTTGGCGAAAAACCGCGAAAAACCGAAAATGGATTTAAACACAAATCGATTTCAACACTAATTTTAGACTAAAAACTCCCTCAATTTTCAAACAATCTAATACAAACTTCACTCAATTTTAACCAACAGTCATACAACTTGATAACTGAATCGAACCGATATAGTGAAAACTCGTGTAAATAGCGAAAAATGGAGAGTTAAATGGTTTCTTTCTTATTTTTTGTTGATCTTTCAACCAATTTTCATCAAACAATTGCTTTTATGTCCCTGGTAGCACACTGACATATTGAATTTGAAAAACTCCAAAATAATTGTGGTCTGAAGTGGGTCTTCATGTTGCCTGTTTTACTCCTTTATGTCCTTAGCTAACTTTGCAAAACTACTTTTGTTATATCAGTAACTGCATTAATTCAAAATATTTTTTATGAAAGTACTTTAAAAAAATGGAAGAAGCTAGATTCTCTTACATCTAAACATGATGCTGTTTTTGCTCCATTCTAATTGAACGCATTTTCTGTTCGACCACCTTGGTATGGCTTCTAGTATTAATTAATTTCATATTAATTAAAGTAGTTGAACGCATTTTTAAGAGTGAAAAATATAATTGCACAGTGGTGGTTAGTAAACATGTGTAGTGAGTTCGATTCTCATTGGGAGCTCAGAACTCGTAATCCTAAGTAACACTAAGCTAATTTTTATAAATGTTGAAATATTTAAATCCACGCACAAAGACGTTAGACTGGAAATGTGTAAGAAATTTTCTATTATTTTATGTGAGAAACTGTCATTCGAGTGACGAAAGGCCGAACAAAAACTGGCAAATGGCACAAAATGAAAATTTGTAATAAATTTGTGAAATATTTTCAGTGAAGGAAGAACTCTACGTATTGAATTTTAGAAAGGAGTAAATTTTCTTTTGACTGCATGTTTGTTTTAGGACCCACGTCTTATTGTGGTTCGGGTGGAGGGAGGAGATACTGTGTTCTTAGCCACGGCTCTGTCTCGCCTCTATCCTGAAATATGTTGGGACCGTCACTTTCAAAAGCCATTAATTACTTTTAAGTTTTGACCCCGGGGAACCACTACAGACATCGCTGAAACATATTTGTTGCTTTCAATGAAAATGTAAGTGTTTTCGTTTTTTTTAGGGGGTTTATGACAAACGAGATTCTTTGTGTGTGTGCTTGCGTGTGCGAAGGCGAAAAGAGATAGTGTGTGTGTGTGTGTGTGTGTGTGTGTGTGTGTGTGAGAGAGAGAGAGAGAGAGAGAGAAATTTATTAAGTGGCGGTAAAAATGTTAACAGACTAGTCCTGTCGGCAATTATAATTTTAACAGTTTTTAATCTCGAAAGCTCCCGATATAAGGTCTTCTTCTTTCTCGTTATTTCTCCCTCGCTTGCACACACACACACATACACACACACACGCGAGCTTCCGAACAAATACAATTGCATATAGTTTACATATATCAATTAGACGAGTTTACAGAATACAGGAAGAAAAGGCGGCGCCTATTAAGGTCCTTTTTTTCAATTGTCATTAGGTTGACATTCTCTACAGTCCGCTTTCATCTATTTCGTGTTCGGAAGACCGTTCTGTTCTTTTCATTTTATGTGCCATGTCCTTTCAGGACGTAGGCGATCATGGCTCTCCACTTCTCCCTCTATCCCTTGCAGCTCTCAACAAGCTCCTTCCCTCTGCTTCCTCTCCATGTTGTGTCATCCATCTGCTCAAGCTCGTCAGGTATGTCACACGCTGCTCTCCCTTGTCTTTCTTTCCCTCTATTTGACTCATGAGTATCAGATTCTCCAGTCCCTCCTTCCTCATTATGTGTCCGAGAAACCTTAGCTGCCTCTTTCTGATGTTTAGTATATGCCTTATCCTTGTTTGTAATCTCTCTAAGACCTCATCGTTGCTCACATGCTCAGTCCATGATATCCTCAGCATCCTTCTGTAGAACCACATCTCCATCGCCTTGAGTCTCTTCCTCATCCTTGAGGAAATCGTCCAACATTCCCTGTCGTAAAGAAGGACAGATGTCACATAACAGCTCAGTATTCTTTTCTTTGTTACCAAAGAAATCCTGCTGTCACGTAATACTCTGCTCAGCTTTTAGAATGTGACCTTGGCCATCCCAATACGACTTCGGATCTCAGTATCGCACTTACCGTCTTTTGTTACGAGAGCAATATGTTACTGACTTTATCAACAAACACTGATATAAGACCTTTTAAAGTTATTTTTAGTGTATAGCCATATTTGAGAAGATGCTATGGTATCTACTAAATAATAACCTTTAAAGTGATAAAATCTGTCGGATTAAAAGTAAATTATCCATTACTTCTTTATATATGTATACACCTTATATTTCCGAGTATAAGACGACCGTTAAATAAAAAAAAATCCCGCCGAAAAATTAGGGGTCGTCTTATACTACGATTCTAAAAAAGAAATCTTAAATTCTGAGTGATGTTTGTCTACAGTCCAACTTCGCGCCTTGGTGCGATAACCAATAACGTGTGTTGTAGAGTAGTTTTCACAGTGGAGGCTTGTATTTCGCTAAGTCGGTCCTAAATTAGGTCCGACGTACAAAACGTTAGGAACTTGAAATAAGAGTTAATGACGCAGCAATATACTTCAATGTCCGACATCGATTGACTCTGGCGACCGCTACTACTACTACTACTTATTATGTGTGGGAGAGTCTATTAATAATAGAATAGGTACGTTCAGGTATGACAATGTAAATGAAAAATTCACATTATCAAATAAACTGATAAGTAATAAAACCATTTCTAACTTATATATTACTAGCATAGCTTCATTATAAATTGCCTAATAATGAAATGAACTTGCATCTAGGCAAAATCAGCAGAGAAACATCGAGTTATGATTGTGCTCACAGCAATCTCCATCTTTCCCTAAACTTTCATTAATCATCATTGTAGTATTAATGACGGCAGTAATAACATTTAGGATAACATAATGTTCATTTCGCCTTCATTTTTATTGACGATGGAGTAAAAGGCCATTAGTACACCAGGTGTGTTTATAACTGTTTAAATATAAAGAAGAAAAAGAAGAACAAGAAGAAGAATCAGTATTCATAAGAGACCACGTAGAGAGAGAGAGAGAGAGAGAGAGAGAGAGAGAGAGAGAGAGAGAGAGATCAGGCGTCTGAGAATTGCGTGAAAGTGCATGAAATTGGAAGACGTGGCCGCTCACTACCCACGTGAGATTTGACTTAAAAATATATTAAAACACTGCAATTTTACAATAATGATCACTTTTTTTTCGAGTATGCAGAAGCTCCTATCACTGATTATATATATATATATATATATATATATATATATATATATATATATATATATATATATATATATATATATATGCATATATATATATATAATTTCATGCACGTGGCAATCGTCAGGCATCAACTAAAACTCATCGAGTACTGTTTTACTACCACTAGCACTCACTTTGTGCTATGATATATATATGTATATATATATATCTATATATATATACATATTATATACATATATATATTTATATATATATTTATATTTATATGTACATACATATATATATTTATATATACATATATTTATATATATATATATCTAATTATAAATATATATAATTAATAATAAAATCCGTTTGAAATAAAATTATTCCCCATATTAGATGATTTGGGATTTTATTGTGTATTTATTATTTACTCTGTAATAATAAAGACATTGAGTTTGGATTATATACCAACCGATTTATATATATATATATATATATATATATATATATATATATATATATATATATATATATATATATATATAGACAGAGAGAGAGAGAGACAGATTATCAACACTGCATGGTGTCTGTCATTTTCTTTAATCTATCTATCTATCTATCTATCTATCTATCTATCTATATATATATATATATATATATATATATATATATATATATATCAATTATTTCTCGTCTCGTTTCACTTACTGCAATTACACACTGCCCGGCCCAAGGATTGAACTCACAGTTACTATGTCTCCAAATTCCCTAAAGAACGCGTTATTCCCCTAGATGGGCAATACTTGAGCAGTACCAAATAAGAACTAGGTGCCATACCCTTAGACATGTACAGTGGTAGGAGAATATTTATCCACCGGATATTAATTACAACCGCAACAAAGATAAGAACAATCATCTGCATATAAATAATGGAAATAATGACACATCCTCATCCTAGAATTACGGAAACTGGATATTTTCTTTGGGTGTTAACAAAAGCTTGTACCCCCATATGAATACGATCGTACGAATGCCATTCTATTGTATATTGTTCTACGTCTCTTACACGTTATGACACAGCAGAGAAAGAGATATACGTAGGCTAACTGAATGATTCACACATCGTCTCATCATGTCCTATACAAGTTCAATGCGGACAATTGTTTCAAGTGGGTGGCAGCAGACTACTGTAACAGTTTATCGTCTTCCTGTTGCAACAGAACGAGTTAGGCAATGTTCTTCATATACATGGAGGAATTAATGTTACATCAACAAATACCAAAGGCAAGCGAGAGTTGTAACTCGTTCCCCGAGCTACCATGGCGTTAGAGATTACACCTGCGTGCCACAAGCAAATACAGTCACACAGCAAACGCAAGCAATTATTACTATGTATGCAAAACGTATTTTAAACACTGAACGATATAAGACGATATACAGGGTTATTTAAAAAGAATAAACCGATTTCATTAAGCAATATCTTAGTAAGGAAAAGCAATAGAAAACTCCATCCAAGTCACAAGTATTCTATTCACAATCAACGTTTATTTTCTGTCTTATAGGTGTTCTGTGCGGCCACTACCTGCATCACGGGCAACATCAATGTGATAAGAGAATTCCTCCAAGACGTTTATCAGTATATCACGATTCAGTGAGTTAATCGCTGTTGTTATTTGATGTTTAATGTCATCGAAGTTTGATGGAACACAAACGCTATCTTTTACGTATCTACACAAGAAAAAAAATCACACACGGAGAGGTCTGGGGATCTCGCAGGTCAACCCTAAAGAATAAGGTCTTGGTATGTATCTGAACGAGGCGTAGTCTGTAAGATTTCAAATGTAGACGTCTTCTCGCGCACGCCAGATAGTAGATTGCGAGATCGCATGATCACAGCTAACTCGATTTGTTGACTTCCATGAACTCCCCTCAATCACAGCACGGATTCTAATCACTTGTTCCTCCGAAACCCGTAGTTGTCCTGGACTTTTGCCTTTACATAGACACCCACTCTCTTGAAACTGTTTAAACAACCATCGAATGTTTTTAGGGGAGAGCGGATTAATGTCGAATTGTCTACGAAATGAACGCTGCACCGTGACAACCGTAATTGATTTCGCGAACTCGAGAACGCCTTTTGCTGAGGACTGGCCATCCCAGAGGTAAGCAAACAACTAAAAGTTGCCTGAGATACGACGCAACAACAGCTCCTCCGTGGCAGTCTCCACGACGCAACTACAGCTCCTCCGTGGCAGTCTCCACGACGCAACAACAGCGCCTCCGTGGCAGTCTCCACGACGCAACTACAGCGCCTCCGTGGCAGTCTCCACGACGCAACTACAGCTCCTCCGTGGCAGTCTCCACGACGCAACAACAGCGCCTCCGTGGCAGTCTCCACGACGCAACTACAGCGCCTCCGTGGCAGTCTCCACGACGCAACTACAGCTCCTCCGTGGCAGTCTCCACGACGCAACTACAGCGCCTCCGTGGCAGTCTCCACGACGCAACTACAGCGCCTCCGTGGCAGTCTCCACGACGCAACTACAGCGCCTCCGTGGCAGTCTCCACGACGCAACTACAGCGCCTCCGTGGCAGTCTCCACGACGCAACTACAGCGCCTCCGTGGCAGTCTCCACGACGCAACTACAGCGCCTCCGTGGCAGTCTCCACGACGCAACTACAGCGCCTCCGTGGCAGTCTCCACGACGCAACTACAGCGCCTCCGTGGCAGTCTCCACGACGCAACCACAGCGCCTCCGTGGCAGTCTCCACGACGCAACCACAGCGCCTCCGTGGCAGTCTCCACGACGCAACCACAGCTCCTCCGTGGCAGTCTCCACGACGCACCACAGCCTCCGTGGCAGTCTCCACGACGCAACCACAGCCCTCCGTGGCAGTCTCCACGACGCAACCACAGCTCCTCCGTGGCAGTCTCCACGACGCAACTACAGCGCCTCCGTGGCAGTCTCCACGACGCAACTACAGCGCCTCCGTGGCAGTCTCCACGACGCAACCACAGCGCCTCCGTGGCAGTCTCCACGACGCAACTACAGCTCCTCCGTGGCAGTCTCCACGACGCAACCACAGCGCCTCCGTGGCAGTCTCCATGACGCAACCACAGCGCCCCGTGGCAGTCTCCACGACGCAACTACAGCTCCTCCGTGGCAGTCTCCACGACGCAACAACAGCGCCTCCGTGGCAGTCTCCACGACGCAACTACAGCGCCTCCGTGGCAGTCTCCACGACGCAACAACAGCGCCTCCGTGGCAGTCTCCACGACGCAACAACAGCGACTCCGTGGCAGTCATTCAAAACTTAGAAAACTCATCTTTCAAATAGTCACTGACTCATTCAATGGCGATGCTTAAGAACTGAATCAATGCGCCATGAAATCGATTCATTCTTTTTGAATAACCCTGTATCATGTCCAAGATGACTTTCCCACGTCATCTTTGGAGGCGTGCACAACAGTATTGTATTTTATGCAGAAGCGTGGCTTAGAAACACGTGCAACTGTAGTCAAGCTACAAGCATACGGTTCCTAGTATCCCGTGATAACACTCCAGAGGCTACATTTGTTCTTATCTGTGATTTTCACCTTGTACGATCTGCCAAAATTGCACTTAGAATGTGACGATTTTAGTGTGCGTCTGCACTGACTAACCGTCCAG